GCTACTTTGCTTCATTACCTGCTTGTCAAAATAAACAATTCTTATGTTTGGAGGAGGTGATCCTGAATATCAACCTTAGACGCCTCTTCTCTCCAGTATGGTTTCCCATGGGCTTCTTCCGAGCAGATCATCAGGCCAAAGTCTGCTCTCCTGAGGTCCAGGGCTGTGATCCTGCTTTTTTCCCTGCTCCCTCTTTGCAAGAACTTGAACTCCATCATCTTATGGTCACTGCAGCCGAGGTTGCTCCTACTCTTCACATCCCTGACCTCTTTTTTTTGTCTGAAAGTATGAAATCCAGCCCAACCCCTCTCAAAAGGAGAACCTCTGTGGCTCCTGGATCATGACCTGTGTCAAGAAGTTGTTGTCAATGCACTCCAGAAACCTTCTAGATGAATTGAGACAGCATTATTAGACAACATGAGCTGGACACTAAGCTTGGCGTTCTTCATTTTTAAAGCCTTAAAGTAATGTTGGAAGAGAGTTTTTAAAGAAACTTAAGTTGCTACATGGATGGAGGAAAAGTTTCTCTTATGAACTGAAAGCAGGATAAAGGACAGGAAACAAGAGATAGGGCTTGCCCAAAGAGGTTTTATTCAGTATATCCATTAAAGATTTAGAGAAGAGAATCCACAGTGAAACTTCCAACCTTGCACATGATACTAAACCCTTACTGGTGGCCAGATGTTATGCTGATGGTGAAGAACTCCAGAAGGACCACACAAAACTAAACAGACAAAAAGATATCAGATAAGCTTCAGAGTAAATAAATGTAAGGTAACGCACCTAGGGAAACACAGCCCAAACCATACCTACAGGATGCTGAATACAGAACTGAGAGCAATATCTTAAAAAAAAAAAAAGAAAAAAAGAAAAGATTTTAAAGTCACTGTTGACGATTCTCTGAAGTCATCAAAAATCCAAAATGACAATTAGTATTATCAGAAAGGGTACTGAGACCAAGACACAGGACATCATTTTGCTTCTACATATAACTTCGGTGTAACCACACGTGAGCATAGTTTATGGTCTTGTCTCTATGTCTAAGGAAAGATGCAGTGGAGTTTGAGCAGGTACTGAGAAAAACAAGTAAAATAATCAAACAGCTGCCTGAGAAGGAGAAACTAAAAAATTGTTGTGCTATTTAGCATGCAGAGGGAAAGACCGAGAAGACAAAAAAAGGAGGAGAACTGCAACATCATGAAGGCAGGGGGTAAGGTGATGACAAAGGCAGAATTGTTGACCAAATCATATGGTATTAGAACTCGAAAGCAACAGATCCATAAGTAGATGCAAAAAGGACAAGACAGAGTGGTATCCCTAACAAAACACCTCTGGATACTGGGGGTATTAACAGGGGAACCGACTGCAAATAGCAGCAGGCCTCTCTTGTTCCTTTAAAGAGCATCTGGTATTGCCAGTCAGAAACAGAGCACTGGGCTCGATGGACGATTGCTTTGACCAGAAAGGCAGTTCTTATGCTCTTAGAACAACCAAAACATAGAGGAGAGAAAAAGGTGTTTTAAAAACAAACTATCAAATAAATAAAAACCAAATTCCCAAGTTGTTATGTTGAGCTGAAGACCTTCCCCAAAGCAAGTCCACTACATTTTGCATTATCGTTCCTCAATCAAAAGAATTCTCAAATGAAAGGATGATTTGGTGGAACAATAATTGTGAGACTTACTATTTCCATGTGCACCTATAACGCACAAGTAAAGAGCTTCCTAGACAAATCCGATCATGAGGCAGTTGCTGGGTTAACATGTACCAAAGGCTTGGGGAAATCGCAGAATAACCGGGCAATCCCTAAAAGTGGAAATTCTTTAGACCCTTGTGAAAAGGTCTAGAGATTTTACTTATGAAAAGTAAAACTGGTAGTTTTATTCCATCACTGAATGTGTTGAAATGTTTCTTAAAGTTACATATAAAACTCTCTTTCTTCATGGCAACTATCTTTGACATAGCCAAAAGGCTTTCTCTCCACTACATGAGGCTACTGCTATAAATAAGATATACTGCTATATATAAAAAAAAGTCTTCTAAATTTGTAAAGAGCAGTCTTCTTTCACAGAGCTGTAAAGGGGAAGCATAGTCTGTAATTAGCCAGCCTAAGTCCTTGGACAAGCCTTTCTTCCTTCCTCACCTCTCTTTCAAATCATTATTTACGCAAGCTGACAGCATGAGAAAAGGAAGGCTACTACTAATTTGTAACTTCTTAGATTTGCTGAGAATAAAAAGTCTTGTCTGAAATTTAATTTCATTAAAATCTCCCTAGCTTGAGAGCTTTACCTTTTTACTAAGAACACATCCCTCCTGAGGCGAGCCCACCCGCTGTGGACTGCAAATTGCAATAACTCTGAATCATTTAGAAGGATTTTCAGCTTGGCAGCAGTGGGTGATGGGTAAAGACCTCAGACCCCTGATGAAATTGGAAGTCCTGCTAAAGAGAAGCCAGTTCCAGCTAGTCTCAGTTCTAAGAGAAGCTGCCAACGGGCCAAACAGCACAGTGACATTGGCACTAACTGCTGGCTCAGCCTAAACACAGCTCTGCTATTTAGATGGTATTGCTGCAAGGAGAAGGGAAAGACACTTGCTGAGGACATGGCAAAATGGTCTTCAGGGGTGCAGGACACGCATGGGTACAGGAAATCAAGTTTCATCCATTTCTCTATTCAGGCAATGAGTTTGTTGTTAGGACTGGAATGATGTATGTTTATACAGGTCACTACGATAGTCAAAAACATTTCATTTATATCTGTGACCTGCTTGATCTTCAGCATTTTTAATCAGCAATATCAACCTGACTGATTTATTGCTACTTATAAACCACACTTACAAAGGCTTTGTTTTCTCTTCATACTCGAACATCCCATGCCTGAAATAAAGAAAATGCACATTGTTCTACTGGTCTAAACAAGACATTAATCTCTGTTCTGATTTTGTGACATTTTCTCTTGGCACCTTCTGATTTAGCTTTATTTCAGCTATCTTCTATTGTAAGTAAATGATATTGTACTTTTCGCTTTCCATTTCTACTGTTAAATCTAGTGTTGAGTCCCTATAGCTATCAGTCTAGACTGCTTTCCAGCATATAGTCCCATTCATATCCCAGGGGGCTTCTAAACTACTTACTCTCTGTTAGGGTCAGCTGAATTAACTTCCTAATGACACGCAGCACTTTTTTTTCTAGCCCTGCTTGAGCTAAGTGATTTAACAGCGTCACTATTCTGACCACAGCCTTGTTTTTGGCATTCGCATGCATACACAGACAGGTAAGTTCTGACCTGATTTAAACAGCTACAGAGTGGAAACCAGTTGTACTGGGGAGTTGGGGAGGTGAATGCTGAACCCAGCAGACATGGGGACCCAGGGATTCCTCCTTCCCAGCCCAGTATGCCCTGAGGCACCGGGGATCTCTCATCCCCAGGCTGACAGACGTGGCTGCTATTCCTGTGAGCAGGTTTGGCCATTAGCAAAGCTCAGCACAAATCCCAGAAAGGTGCACGCACACACTAACGTGGCTGGCCACACAACCTTCCAGCACTGCCTTTAGGCGCATTCACACAAACACCACCAATTCTCATCTAAACGACAATATAGGTGCTCCAGTCCTATTCCTTCCCTCCAGCTGATCAGGATCGAAGTTCACACTGCCCTCACTCCCTAGATCCACAAGCGTGTTGACATCTACAGATCGCCTGAATACCAGCACAGCTTACAAGTTCATTCAGTATCCATGCCAGGACCACGGGCTTCCTTGCTTGGCATGTTGGTCTCCTCCTTCTTGCTGGCAAGTCCAGCTTGAAGTTTGCTAAAAAACAAAAAATGCATGCACCCACACACTCATCTCGTGAGCACCCCCACAGTCACAGATCTCCTGGGTATCAGTGTAGGCTCTCAGTTCTCCAAATATCCATGCATAGATCCTGGGTCCTTTTTTCCACCACTGGCTCGGTCCTTGAGTCCTTCTAGATGCATACCTCTTCCTACTCACCAGTTCATCCAGCTTGAACTTCACTAGCACTTGCACAGACACACACACATGCACGCACATAGACACGGAATTAAATTCACTGGGGAAAAATAAACCACCAGATCCTTTTATCCACCCTAATCTCTTATTTTCCCATACTTTTTCTCCCCTAATCCACTCTGATCCCCTTTTCTCCACATGTGGCCCTTCCCCTAAGCATTGCATAACATGTTTTGCACAGTCCCACAAGCCCCATCCAATATCCCATAACGAGTTTTGCACAGTCCCAGTGGCCCCCCTCAGATATCCCACAATACTCATGTTGGTCTTGTTACCCCTCTGAACGGCTACAGAGTTCAGTCTGACCCTATTCAAGGCTATGCCTGAGCAGTCGGCTTAATGGCCCATCAATCAGTGGCTGAACAGGGGTGGTCTTCGTTACTGTCACTGTTATCACCTGCTAGTCAGGACTGTGTATCTGTGTGCTCAATTTATCACTTTCCTTGTTATTTGTTATTCCTTTGTATTGAACAGTTTTAACCAGCAAGCTTAATGAACCAGACGCCTTCACATTCTACACATCTTTACAAAGCATACTTAGCAAGCTCCTGATGGGTTGCATTCGAAAGGGGAAGGATTTGTAATCTGAGAAGCCCATGAATGGGGGCAGCTCAGGAATACACAGTGAAGCAAGTAAAAGAAGCTGCCAAAGCAGTTCACTTGAGTAAGAGGCCATCCAAAGAAAAGTTTGGCAGGGCAAAAAGGCACAGCTCCACTACAGATGAACTTCAGAGAGCACAGAAAGACCGAGTACTGGGAATAAATCATATACCATTAAACTTTCTGCCTACAAAATACAAAAAAAAAGAAGAGAAATGGGAGAAATAAGATGTTGAATCTTTAAAAAGAATGTAAACATGACTAAATGAATAAGAAGAAATGATTGCTTCTTTTTCTTTCCGCTTTCCATCCCTCCCTTTTTCCTTTCCTCCCTCTCCTACCAAAAAAAGAAAAAAGAAAAAAGAAATTAAATCCAGCATAATCTTTTCTTTTTGTTTTAAGCTATTAAATCATCATTTTTCCTCAAGAAACTTTGATGACTTAACTGACAGTTTATTTTAAAAATAGATCAAGCCTTTGGTTGCCATGCACGTACTGTATTTTATCTCTAATGGAAATAATTAAGCTTACTTAAATGCATGAAGAAGCAAAGAGAAAACAAAACAGCCATCCATCTTACTGGAACATCTACTCAATGTCTTGACCAGAAAACATAAAGTTGTAGTAGTGCTATAGACGCTGAAAAACAAATATTCCATTCACCATTATCCTTGATCACTAACAAAGAGACCAGCTTTAGGATTTATGATAGTAGCAAGTACTGCAATGACAATCCGTATGGTTCTCTATCTTCACGTTGTCCTTAAGCGTAATCTGAAACAAAGAAAACACACACATAGCAAATAGTTGTCCTTAGCTACATTGATAAAACAGCATTCTGAAGCAAAAGGTTTCTGACACCTTTTTCTTGACTCCACGCAGCACACAAGCCCTTTGCATATGAGTACTGGAACAGCACTTGAATGCCATGCAGTGGAAGTGCAACACCAGTGATGTTCAGAGCCATAATTAGAAGGATTTCAATAGAGATCTGCAGTTTGCTGTCCTTAATTTCCTAAACTCTCTCTTTTTTGGAAAGTGTCGAGTTCCCAAGCTATGAAAACTCAGGAATTCTCTTTAGAATTTTTAATGCGTAGACTATGAAAGTAGACACCATGAAAAGATATGAGTCATTGTTATTTTTAATCTCAAACAAATGCTAGTATTGCCTGTGGGAAAATATGTTGGTGATATAAAAAAGCATCATCCACTACTGAGACAAAGACCCAGCAAGGGCTGAGCTATGGATTAAGATACCTAAACTGGGGGTGCCTACAGGTGAGGCAGGAGGTGTCCAGGCTCTGTTCAGTTGCCAGCACAGAAATGTTAAGTGACATTGAGATACTAAAGGCGATCCCAACTGGCCTCCAGCAACTGCTCTAGAAGGTCTTCCATAGGTCCTCTGTCCGCCAGCCACCTTCAGATGCCTTGAATACCCTGCAGTAGCTCAAACAGCACCAGATCTCTCAGAGTGGGTAACTGAACCAAGCCTCTAGGTAATACACTCAATGAGCCTGATTCAGATCACTGTAAAAGGGATACCTTAGCCCATAACAACTCTCTCACCCTGATCTACATCGAAGTTAAAGTTTCTTTGTCTGTAGCTGAATCAACCCTAAAATAATCAGCTATAGCAGAATCTCTAATAGAACCTTTCAGATGAGGCTGTTACTTTGAGTATTAAATGTTTAGAGTTTTTTCTACACTGCTAAAAATAAATTTAATCTTGCTTAATCTAATGACTACAGATGGTTTTGGTTCCTCGGTCGCAAAAATGAAATTGATAATATTGACCAGTCGCCTTCCCACAGGATTACTGTCTACGTAGGAAAGAAGCAAGGAAAATTGCTGATTAAAATCAAGTGTACACTGCATAACATTTGAGGAGAGGGTGCACATCCAAGTTAAAAAACAAGGGAGGACATGTATCGAGCACCAGATCTTTGGGTGATGTGAATCAAAGTGGTGTCACTGAAGCCCATGGCACTGAATTTCTATATCCCAACTGAGTTTCAGACCCTACTGGTTGACACTTATATTTCCTCTTTAGAAAAAGAAGTGCAAGACATAAATGTCAACGGCACTTCCTTCAATGTCCTCCAGCAAAACTATGTCGTTTTCTACTCGACAATAAATACAGTATCTTACAACTAGCTGAAACGAGTCCCATTCACATCCTTACCTTGGTAAAGGCCTTCGCTACGCAGCACGTCGCTTCTGACGTGATGTTCTTCGGGACCAGCATTGTCTTCTTTGACCTCATTGGAGTGGGATAGGCCCGGGAGAAACAACATCCAGTGCACTGGTAAATGGGTGCTCCTGGTTTTGAGAAGAATCTGTTCTCCCCTAGCTTGCACTCTGGACAACCTGCCATGGGTATACACAAGGAAGAGATGTTAACCTTATCCCTAGCTGTATTTTTATTTTCAAAAAGGAAGGGAGAGGGCAAATGGTAGGAGGAAGTGCCATCGCCTTGTGCTGCTTGACATTTTCAGAACAGAAAAGAACAGAAACAAAAGCTTTCCTCTTTTGGAGTCCTTGAACTCTGCAACACACACCATTTGTAAAATTACTTGGAGTGTGGCCTTCCAGTTAAAGCACAGGCATTATTGTTTCTTTTTTTTTTTTCTAATTTAATCTTGCTGATAGCTTTTTGCTTTTTTTTTTTTTTCGGTTGGTTGGTTGGTTTTGTACATCTATTACACTAGCTCTTACTAAACACTTGCTATTATTTTTAGATAGCTAACTAGCAGCAGCAGTATTTGTAGTGCTTCTTAGACATTGTCTATTTTCAGGCAAGACTGTAATCGAGAACTTTAGAAATGACCAGCAATTCTGAGAATTTTGTAGCTCAGCTTTCTCTATATTCAGTTTGAAATCTTTAAGGGAACGCACCAGGCAGAAGGTAAATGCTCAACACCATTGAAAATCATTTTAAGCGTGAAAATTGTTTTTTAACATAAGTGTTTACACGCTAGGTAATGTGAGTAAAGGCTAATTACAGCGAGCACAGAAACACAGCCCTGATGAGAGGAATGGTGAGAGGCAGAGGAACCCTCCTACCCTGAGCAGTGAAAAGGGAGAATGTGACTCCTAAGGCCAACAGAAGAGAAGGTCTAGCCTGTTGTCCCTGGTGGGAAGCCACCAAAGTGAGGCCCTCAGAGAAGCTTTGCAGGCTGAAAGGACAACTGCCTAAAGTGTGTGGGGCATATTGTGGGATGCAGAGAGAAAAGAATTTAAGGATTGTGTAAATCTTGTTATAGGATGTTTCAAGGCGATTGTGAGAAAGTGCAAAACTATACAGGATTTTGAAGGGAATAACCAAAGACTGGGAAAGAAAAGAGCTCAAGGAGGACAGGAGAGAAATAAGCATGGGAAAAACAGAAGTAAAAGGGGATAAAATGGGAGAGTTCTGTGAAAACAGACTGCTGGTCAGTACACTTGTCTGAGCCTTGTGCTTTTTCACTGCAGTTTATCCTATGCTTTTATTAACTGCTACCTTTTTTTGTGGTGCAATCTTTATTCAGAGCGTCTGTGTGTTTGTACACATGTGTGTGCATGCAAGCAAACATCAAGCTGGACTACAGGGCATGCCAGCCCCTGGAGTAAGAGGCCATGAGCCCAAAGGTCTTGTAGGTCCAGGTGCAACCAGGACAGCAGGGTCCTGGAGCCACCTACTAGGTAGTGCAGACCTTGGACTGAGAGTCTAAGACCAGCTACTGCACAGACGAGTGCTGTGCCTGCATGTATAAAGCACCAGTAAACCTCAAACCCAATCAGCCAGAAGGGACAAATGGGATGAAGTTGTGTTGCTCACATTTATGAGAGTATTGAGGGTTTTGGAGAGGGTGTTGATGAAGGCACCGTTTCCTCTCTGTGTGGCTGGCCCTGTTAGCAAGGAGTGCACAGTCTGGAAAAGGGGCACTGAAGCAGCCCCACACGTGCTGGGCTGGGACAAAAGATATCTGTGACGTGAAGTCTGGCTATGTTTAACAACAAGCATATGCTTAACCACTTTACTGAGTAGGGTTTACTTTAACGAGAGCCAAGCGGGTGTCTAACTGCATCACTGAAATGCAGCCTCATCAACACAATCACCTTCTCATTCATAAGTAATGTGGTCACTCCACAACAAAGCCATGAAGACAACAGGATAAGCTTAAAACTGAGCTGAATCAGGCCACTAAAGGAGTCAGTGAATCGATGTTCATAAAAAATACATGAAATTCTACCAATCTTTCTTTATGTGAAGATCTTACTGAAAACAAAACATTTGAGAAAAATTGCAGACTTTTACAGCTTTCACAGATAAGATCTAGGAGTAAAGATTTTTGCTACATCTTTAAGAGCTGCAACATGGAAGTGACAGAAATGGTGCATCAAGGTGCAGGAGAGAAAGGAGTGATCAGCCTGAATTATGGAAATCTCTCCAATGTGAATCATAGACTAAAATACTGCCAGGAATCTCCAGTGCCTACTGTTACATACTATGACTTTGTCTCAGTATATCCATGCACAAAGCGTCCCTTAGAAGGAAACTCCTTGCGGCAATGTCTCTATCAGAAACTCCTCCTTTGACAAGTTTCTGGGGTTGCTCCACAGTGTTCCTACCCTTCAATCTAGTGTGGGATGCTACAGCCGGAATAAAGGCCATA